AAAAAAAAAAAAAAAAAAAAAAAGTAATTCTAAATTACTCCAAAAAGGCCAAAATGCTCCTTGCTGGCTTGGCTGAGTGCAGGATAAAATGTGGAGGGCCTGGATGGACTTGCCCCTTCCTACCGGGAAGCACACAAGTTTTCTTGCTGGAAAAGTAGACCTTTGAGACTTCTCCGTTGTGCTAACTTATTCTCCTTTGTCTTCACAGAGACTAATAGACAAGTCACGAGTTACCTGTGTCAAATGGGTTCCCGGTTCGGAAAGCCTTTTCCTAGTAGCCCACTCGAGTGGGAGCATGTACTTATATAATGTGGAGCACACTTGTGGCACCACAGCCCCCCACTACCAGCTTCTGAAGCAGGGAGAGAGCTTTGCCGTGCACACTTGCAAGAGCAAATCCACGAGGAACCCTCTCCTTAAGTGGACGGTGGGCGAGGGGGCCCTCAACGAGTTTGCTTTCTCCCCAGATGGCAAGTTCTTAGCGTGCGTGAGCCAGGATGGGTTTCTGCGGGTGTTCAACTTTGACTCAGTGGAGCTGCACGGTACGATGAAAAGCTACTTTGGGGGCTTGCTGTGTGTGTGCTGGAGCCCGGATGGCAAGTACATCGTGACAGGTGGCGAGGACGACTTGGTGACAGTCTGGTCCTTTGTAGACTGCCGAGTAATAGCCAGAGGCCACGGGCACAAGTCCTGGGTCAGTGTCGTAGCATTTGACCCTTATACCACTAGTGTAGAAGAAGGTGACCCTATGGAGTTTAGTGGCAGCGACGAGGACTTCCAAGACCTTCTTCATTTTGGCAGAGATCGAGCAAATAGTACACAGTCCCGGCTCTCCAAACGGAACTCTACAGACAGCCGCCCCGTAAGTGTCACGTATCGGTTTGGTTCCGTGGGCCAGGACACACAGCTCTGTTTATGGGACCTTACAGAAGATATCCTTTTCCCTCACCAACCCTATTTGGGTTTTAAAGGCAAGACTACTGACATGTGCCTGTTAAAGAAACACGTCGGTCAGGGGTCCAAAGTTAGCATGGAGCAGAGTGATGGTGATGAGACACACACTCCCGAATGAATCATCAGTGTCTCTCTCTCAATGCCGGCAGAGAGGGTTTCGAGGAGGTGCTTAT